AGTGTTAGAGACAATACTGGCCAAAATCTATAATGCAGTTGCTGTCTGTCTTATTCGTCTTATTTCAATGCAGCTTCCCATGATGCTCAGAATTTCCATCCCTTGGTAAACTTCAAGGATCTTTCAAGGACTTTTCGAATCCAACACCATTAGATTCAAGGACTTAAAGTGTGCATGAAATCCTAATTTACACTGTTTATTTTGCTAGCTCATATTGTTATTCCTAAAGTGAGTAATTAATTTGTGCAGGTTAATCCACTGATTTTTTTATTTATTTTTATTTTTTATTTTTTTGGTAATCTTTTATCAAAGTCTGACCATTTGCTATAGCCTTTGGTGGTCAATCTGTTGACATCAACCTGAGGGTTTCTATAGCCAACATAGGCTCATTTTAAAAACAAAGGCCTATATAAATTTCTGGAGATCCCGAATTATGTAGCCAGAGGAATGTACATCAGAGGATTTTAGACGCAGAGTGGAGTTGATGGTTATGATGGGGTTTGAGTCTGACAAAGAAGGGTTCCAGAAAGCAGGTAGGACAAAAAATAAAACAAACAAGTAAATAACAGGACGTCGGTCGGTCAGTCGACTGCAACCTCTGGTGGATTTACGCGAAAAGAGTAGGTGCGAATGGCACTTGTGAGAGAAACTTTGAGATCTCATAAAGCATACACAGTGCCTCTAGCGAATTCGCGAAAACAAAAACTGCAAAAAAAAATTTACTTCCTAGGATGTATTTGGTGCTGTCTAGAAAAGTATATAGAGGTACATATTCAGAATCAGCCTGGGTTGTCCATAGCAACTGTATATTTATATATTTAATTACACATCCTCTTACTGTTAGTTTACTATGAGGGAATAATGCGCAAATGAAGGCCTCAACTCCTGCTTAATATTCTTTTTTAGTAGAAGTACATCAACATACTAAAATAAACTTGTGGGTTTTTTTATTTTAATGTGGAGAGACACATTCCAAGAGAGATCAAGGTTACCTTATGTTAAAGTTTTCATGTGTCAAACAACCTAATCTTATAGCAGTTCATAACATATTCATTTAGTGCTAATTAGCATTAATTTGTTCGATCTTATTCATATATTTTAGTATGCTAAGTTAGATTTTCTGGTAGGTTTTGGAGTGAGGTTCGGTGCCATGCCTCTTTTTAAAAATCTATGAATGAAATAGTATGAATTTGTACAAATTAAGACATAGTCTCTCCAGTGTCTCCTGTGTGTTTTCTAAGGACAACACCTCCCTAGGCAGTCATCCAGGATGCATCCATAACAGATGCCCGAGCCACCTCAGCTGGCTTCTCTCGATAGGGAGGAGCATTGGCTCTACTCCAAGCTAATCCCATTTGACAGAGCTTCTCACTCTATCTATAAGGGTGTACCCTGCCATCCTGCGAAGAAAAAATAATTTCAGCCACTTACATCCTAGATCTTGTCCTTTCTGTCATGACCCAAAGCTTATGACAATAGGTGAGAGTAGGAACGTAGATTGACGGGTAAATCAAGAGCTTTGCATTTCGGCTCAGCTCCTTCTTTACCACAGTGAACCCGTACATTGACCACATTACTGCTGCAACTGCACTGATCCATTTGTCAATCTCATATTCCATCCTTCCTTCACTCATGAACAAAACCCCAAATTACTTGTACTCCTCCACCTGTGGTAAGAACTTTCCTCTTACCTGGAGATGGCAAGTCACTATATTCCGGTAGAGAACTACACTGTAAAAAATAAACGTTATTTTACAGGTAATTGTCTGTATTTTTTTACAGAATTTTTCAGTTTTCTCATTATACAGGGAAATACCTGTTGTTTTACAGATATGTTCTGTAATAAAAAAATCTTACATTAAATTTACAGTTATTGCTTGTATTTTGGTATTACATTCTTTTTCTGTTTTTTAAAAGAAATGTACTGTATTTTAAGAGAATAACACGTAATTTTACGTTAATATTTACAGATTATTCCTGTAAAAATAAACTATGAAAATAAATGTTATTTTACAGATAATTGCCTGTATTTTTTACAAAATTTTACTGTTTTTTTATTATACAGTGAAATATATTTTTTACAGATATTTTCTGTATTTAAAAATTCCAACATTTAATTTACAGATAATTGTTAGTATTTTGGTATTACAGGTTTTTTCAGGTGGCGCAGTGGGTAGCACGATTGCCTCACAAGAAGGTCGCTGGTTCGAGCCTCGGCTGGGTAAGTTGTTATTTGCATGTTCTACCCGTGTTGGCGTGGGTTTCCTTCAGGTGCTCAGGTTTCCCCCACAGTACAAAGACATACGGTACAGGTGAATTGGGTAGGCTAAATTGTCGGTAGTGTATGAGTGTGTGTGAATGAGTGTGTATGGATGTTTCCAGTGATGGGTTGCAGCTGAACGGGCATCAGCTGTGTAAAACATATGCTGGATGAGTTGACAATTCATTCCGCTCTTGCGAACCCTGATTATTAAAGGGACTAAGCCGAAGAGAAAATGAATGAATGAATGAAGGAATGTTAATCATGGGTTGCCACAGCGGAATAAACCATCAATAAGCATAAGCATAAGTTTTCACGCAGCAGATGCCCTTCCAGCTGCAACCCATCACTGGGAACACCCATACACACTCATTCACACACATACACTATAGACAATTTAGCCTACCCAATTAACCTATAGCACATGTCTTTGGACTGTGTGTGAACCGGAGCACCCGGAGGAAACCCACGCCAACATGGGGAGAACATGCAAACTCCACACAGAAATGACCACTGACCCAGCCGAGGCTCGAACCAGTGACCTTCTTGTTGTGAGGCGCCAATGCTACCCACTGTGCCTTGCACATATCTGTTTTTGAAAATAAACTTTTCAAATTCTATTTAGAAGATGACTAGTTTACAATAAGAAAATACCTGAAAATAAGTACAAAAACAAGTACGGTAGCCTATAGTAGTCCAATTATCACACCATTGGCAAATTAGACTGTACAGCACTACAATGCACAAATGGAGTAAAGTTTCAGTTTACCTTTTACTATAGTTTTACTTTAACGTACTGAAAATTAAACTGGCTTTAAACTTTCAATTCAATATGTAGTAATGAAGTTGAACTGTGTTTATACTTCATTATATTGCAATTTTGCAGTAGCAAATATTTTTTCTGCAGTTATTCTTTATAGCCTGCTGCTATTGTTCAGTTGTACTGCAGTTTTACTTCAGTATGCTGTTATTTTTTGTAAGGGTTTGTTATATTGGTTTGTAAAGTATGAAATGTAAAAGCAACACCAATAGCACCAAGATGTTGAGGTTTACAATAATACATGTGATGATTATGTGGATAAACGTGACTTTTCTGTAGCCTGTTAAAGTGAAGATTAAATTGAAGTTATAAATGTCAAATAATAGCCTAGTATTTTAGGCCACATACTGTACAGTATATGCACTGTAAAATGCAAAAAATGTTCATTTTAATTATTATATTTATTTTCTATAATATTTATGATGTATGCTATTATATAATTTTTCTCCTAGTGACTAATCACACATATTATTTACTTGTGTATGCATGTTATGACCTGTAAACATTTTTTCTAATCAATCTTTACAGTTGCAATGTGCAGTCAACAAAAAGTTAACTAAACATCCCCGATAGCAGGTAATAATTGGCCCGAGTTCGATTGCCCTTCGGCGCCTCCGGCTCCGACTCGGCATCGGCGAGTAAATGGATTATATATATCATCTAGAGAAAAACAGTGTAAAATGCCCTTATTTTCAAGACGGCACGCTCCAGTGCCGACTGTTTTTTTAAAGCAGAAGTTGGTTTTATAAGAAACACATTCGTGAGTAGACGAGATATATCCAGCTGCAGAACATTGGAGTAAACTCCTGATCCAAACTCCAATCCAGGCAGTGGTGGTAATGCTCCAAAAAGCTGTTTGCCGACTACCATAAAGATCACTGGAAGAAAAAGAAGTTTGTTTGGTTTTTCAAAACTTTCACCTGGATTCCGGTCAGAAAGGTAAGGTTTTTACTGCTTGTGTACTGTATACTTTGCGAATTTAGAGCTTAAAACATTTTTCCACAGTGTTTGGTTGTAACCGTGTTTAGTAATTTAAAATAATTTGATACGAAATGTAACTTGCTTTAAGAAACACGACTGGAGCTAATGTAAGTTATGCTAGCGCTAATGTTACAAACACATCTGAAAGTTCCTGTTCTTTTAACACAATATTAGACTGTAACGTGTTTAGTAACTGAAAACTATTTTAATTGTTTTAAAGAAACATTAAACGAATTTGTGTGTATGCTATCTTTACGTTAAAGAAAGTTTCTGTAGACGAATCCATTAACACCAACATGGCAAAACCTGTGCTTTTATTTCATATGTGTTACCCTATGTGAATCAATTATATCTTTTGTTCAAGCTGTAATGTTCAGTTAATGTAAAACTGAACGTCTTAAAGCAGATTTTAATTTTTTTTTTTTTTGTTATTGACAAAAATTCTGATTCTGATAAATTCTAATTTAAATGAATGGGTAAAAATATTTGTTGGTTAAATCTTATTGTTCTTGTTTCCAATGGCACACTCTTATGAACATGAATAGACATGTTATAGTTAGGTGCTTAAAGTCCATTATAAGCTGTAAACTGCTGATACATTTTAAACATTAAACATTAAACATTTTAAACATTAAACAAAGATTGAGCTTTTCAGACTTTACATTACTATTTGCTTCACAAACAGCTGAAATGGTTTATTGTTATTGGCTATCATCATTATCAAACATTTTTCACAATGGTAGGTTAATCTTCATGGGTACAAAATAATGCATGTGCTTGACCATCTTAAAATCTATGTCTCAGATTTATAAGGCTGTCACTCTGCATGAATCTCCGAATAAATCTTGTGCAACCTTCAGTGTACTGATTATTTACACTATAGGTATTATAGGCATTAATTAACTTTGATAGTATTTCAGGATTTGAACTCTTCTTTACGGGAGGTTAACAACAATGTGATGTTTTATTATAGATGCATATGAGGAGGCTCGACTAAAACATTCACAAGCAACTGTGATTTCTGACTGGCAGACAGATGAGGATGATGATCGCCCGTCATACACCTAAAGAAAGTACAGGTTTGTTTGCAATTATTTTAAACACATAATGCCATTAATCTATTACAACCAGCGAGTTTTGCACTGGCACTATACTAAAGTGATGTTTTGTAAATGTATCTGATCAAGGGACATTAAAGACAACTATACCATGATGAAGAAAAATTACTTGGAACAAAGAGGCTGGATAAAAGGCAGGTATGAAGATTTTAGAAATCAATGCAGCACCACAAGTACCATCACCATCAATGACTATGGCAGAAATCCTAAGACCACCATCAAGATGCACAGATACTGTACATTCCAGTACACTTATGAACATTTACAGTCCTTGTTCTAGTGCAGTTGGAGATCAAGACAGAACTTATTGCAACTCGTCATGTCTTTGTAAGAAATCAAGACATCACTAAACTTGTAAAGGCTTAATACAGCTAAAAAATAAAGATCAACTAGAGAATATCACCAGTGTCTAACCCACTGTTGTATTTACACAAGTTGTATGAGAATAAGCTACAGGTTGATTAATTTGTTATTTTTTCTTTTTTAGCGTGACTGAATGAAGATTTAAAATCACACAACATCATAAAGCAGCAGCTGGGCCTGATTCTCACAAACCAGCAAAACCAAAACAGACGTGATGAAATTCCAGATGTAAACACATTTGACCTTCCTTTGTCCAATTTTACTTGGAAAAGCTTAAATCAACTAAAGGAGCAGCCCGAACAAATGAAGAAACTGGTAAGTTCAAGCTCGTGCTTATTTCAAAGTGTTTTAAGTTTATTTGTTTTATTTATTTGTTTGTTTGTTTGTTTGTTTGTTTGTTTGTTTGTTTGTTTGTTTTTTTTTTTTTTTTGTTTTTTTGCTTTGTAGGTAGCCTACTTTGGAATCATTGGTGTTTTCCACCAAGCAGTTGGCCGTATCCTGGAAAAGCTTTTGGCTAACTCCTTGGCTAAACAAATTAACTGGAGCGGGCCACATTAAAAAGTGGTCTTTCGTGCACACCCCCTTAGGACTGTCGTAGTCAGTAAGTTGGTTTTGAATATACATTTTAATACAATTAGGGACCGTTTCATCTGTGCATTTCTTTGAATTATTAACCAGAGGAACAAAAAAATCTATATATAGTCCCATTTAGGTTTTACTTATATGAGAGCAAGCATCTTTTTTTTATTTTTTTTTAAATTAGTACTTGTTCACTACTAATCATCTGTTTATCTTTTAATCACAGATGCAGTGAGGACAAATGTCCATACCACGCCACTGATAAAGAGATTGGAAAATGCATTACACAGTGGCTACAACTTGCTCCTGACAGGGATGGAGAAAGGAGGGAAGAAAAGAAAGCTAATGTGTCAACTGTTTACATCACTATTCTATTCTATTCTATTTTTTAAACAACATTTTATGTGTATTAAGATGTTCCCAGATACTTGAGCAATTTGTTTCTTTTCAATTGCATTTATTTATATATATATATATATATATATATATATATATATATATATATATGAATTTTAGGGACATATGTTTTTTGATGCCAGTGTTACAGTAGATGTTCAATTTGATGACATCAAGCTAGACAACTGACATCAAATGGATTCACATTTTTGACATGTCATTTGATGTGTTTTTATGATGTTTTGACATCGAGGTGCCCCTTGGGTTGTTAAATCTTTCATGTGATGTGTTTGCAAGCATTTTACATGTACAGTATAGAACTTTCAAGCTACATTTATTTTTAAGTTAAAAATACGCATCTAAAGTGGCATGGCAGGTTCTCCCCGTGTTGCCGTGGGTTTTCTCCAGGTGCTCCAGTGTCCCCCACACCAAATAGCTGTGAGCTAAATTGGCCATAGTGTATGAGAGTAAACGAGAGAGTGTGTGGGTGTTTCCCAGTATTGGGTTGCAGCTGCAAGGGCATATTCCACTGTGGTGACTCCTGATAAATAAAGGGCCTAAGATGAAGCAAAATTAATAAATTAATAAATAATTGGCATCTACTTATCCCTTTCTAACGCTACATCTATTACTATAGAAATCACCTCTTTTTTTTTTTTTTTTTTTTTAGAGATTTTTATCAAATTAAACTGGACTTTTGTCTTCCAATGAAGGTCTCTGCATGTTGCAGTATGATAAATATCCACTATTCTAAAAATAAGCTTGGTAGCATTCGCTCCTAACAATTTATTTATATTATGTTTTGTCTCATTTTGGGAAGCCTTAAGAACCAGGGAAATTAATTTCTACACTTTGAACATAATTTAGGTCTGAAGGGATTTTTAATTGTTATCAGATCTGAGTTCAACTGCTATAAAATAAATGTGGGTAACCACCAATTATTGCTACTACTTAATCCTAGCTACCCTAACGACAAGGAAAAGAGCTAGTTTGGTGGATGGGGATGATTGGAAGGTCATGATGGGTGAGGGTTGATGGTGGGAATTTGGCCCGGACACCAGGAATTTTTAATAACCACAGAGAGTCAGGACCTCAGTTCAATGTCTCATGCGAAAGATGACCCTCACTGACAGAAAAGTGTCCCCGCCACTATTGGGCATTAGGACTTACACAGACCACAGTTTGAGCGCCCTTGCTGGCCTCAATAACACCACTGCCAACAGCAACCTAGTTTTCCCATGTGGTCTTCCATCCAGATACTAACCAGGCTCAGCGCTGCTTATAGCTTCAGTGAGTAACCAGTCTTCAGCTACAGAGTGATATGGCTGTGTCAATAAGCTGTTAGTTCATGTTGAGTGCACTTGTTAATTTTAACAAGCATGAGTTTAGATTTTAATAATGCACTATGAACTCTGCTTAAACTGTGAATTAAATCATTAAACTACAGTATAATTAATAAATGCTGTACAAGTATTGCTCATTAGTAGTCCATGTTAGTTAATACATTAACTAACATTAATGAAACATTATTATAAAGTGTGACCTTAATACATATTGCTTAATAATTTATTTTTATATATTCTTTATTTTGTTTTAGGTTTGTATGAGTACGATTGGAGGGATATTATATATATATATATATATATATATATATATATATATATATATATATATATATATATATATATATTACAGGTACATAGTAGTACAACCTGATTATGTGAAATGATCTTAGTCTTATTGTTTTGATTTGATTTATTTTTAAAGGAAGTTCACCATACTGAAAATGCAAGCCATCATTTTAATTCGCAGCATAGTCACGTGTGGGAAAATGTGACTACATACAGTGGACAAGAACATTGAAATGCAGTAGTTGTTTCCAGGCACTTTACAGTCAGGGGACCTCGGCGGCGGTTCAATCTGTGATTCTGCAAAGAGCCAGAGAGTGGAAATAAAATAATCAACACTGGTAATACCGAAGAAGGCCGAGTTAGGATTAAGATCATAATAGAACTGCAGACGAGGCTCTGGTCCCCGAGGTACCGGCTGAAATATCATATAACATTCAGTTTTTGAAATATTACATTATCAAGGTTTTTCACTCCACGTCTTCTGTACGCCGCTCTTATTTTCACACCGAGATAGCAATTTTAGATACTGTACGGTTTTTAATAAATGACCAGTATTGAATATAACAGGCATTCTCAAGTGTGACTTACAGTCTTTCGCCATTAAGAATTTAAAGAGCCTTTTATATTCCTGTCCCTGAATTCAAAACATCTCAGACAGGATGCAGAACTGCAGCTCTTGTTTTGAGTTTAGTGAAGCGCTAATAAAATCACATGACATGTACATATATTCATTGGCATGTTTATAAATGTATATTATATTGTTAAATAATATTTTAATAATACATTTGTTTATTTAATGTAAAATATTTTATGTTTTAAACACTTGCAAAACATACTTCAAAGAATGTGTTGGTTGGTTTAAATGGGTGTTTTTTTGTTTTTTGTTTTTTGTTTGTTTTATATGTACAGCAGGTATTATACTTATTATCATGTCATGGTAAATATATTTCTAAAAAAGCTGTCGACATGAAATTGACCCATATTTTTGCTAAAAAATAAAATTAAAAATGATTTGCAAACAAAACAAACCAAAAAAAAATATTTTAAAAATTATTTATGTGTAGTATCAAAGGAATGACATTGCTTGAGTAAATATTTTTTTTTCCCAGAATTCAACAAAGTCTAAAAATCTTAATGGTTTTGTGGGTCTCGTCTATTAACGCTAATCTTTACTTCTTATTGGATTCAGGTCAGGTGATTGTCTGGGCCATTCTAGGAGATTTATTTTCTTTTTCTTAAATTAGTCAAGAATTGTCTTAAAATGTCCACCCTGATTTCATGATGATGGTGATGTAGGTGTGGGATTGAAGCAACTAATAGTAATTTACACTAAAAAGTGGCAGGGTTATTAAATAACCACTGAGAGATTTCAGCTGCTGTCTGGGCTTTCCATGCATTTCTACACCTTCCTTTATTTGTGTGTTTATTTTATTTTATTAAACATAATTTAATTACGAAATTAAATACTTTTATTTTCTTTGTATGTATGGATTACTTTGGTTGTTACCGACTTCTGGTAAAAAAAAATTCAAATTAACCACATCTAAGAAAAGCATTTACTGAGAAAAATTATGAAATGTTCAATACCTTTTTACTTGTTATATGTATATATGCATATATGAATCAGTTCGGTGCATGGCATATAGAGCTATTGTACGGTATGGCTCAAATGGTTCTGTTTACTGAGAGGGCGGGGCTTGTGGTGTGGCAAAAAGCAATTTTATGGAACACTCAATTCAATTTTGATTTAATAATACTAATAATTGAACTCAAAATTGAGTATTTGATCACGCTTGAAAGCAGAACTGTTTTAGTTCGAAAAATGAGTGGTTGTCTGTGGACATTTGCACCCTTGATTGGCTTATCTGGATTATTCTATATGCTTCATCAAGGCCATCTTATATGACCAATACACATATGTTTGTTTTGTTTCCGTAATTAAAGGGTCACAAAACACCAAAACACTTTTTTTTTTAGTGATTTCACTTTTTTGTGATTTTTTTTGTTGACAGTCAAATACAGTTGAAATCAGAATTATTAGCCCCCTTTGATTTTTTTTTTCTTTTTTTAATATTTCCCCAATGATGACAGAACAAAGAATTTTTCACAGTATGTCTGATAATCTTTTTTTTTTCTGGATAAAAGTCTTATTTGTTTTATTTCGACAAAAATAAAAGCAGTTTTAATTTTTTAAACACTATTTTAAGGACAAAGTTATTAGCCCCTTTAAGCTAATTTCTTTTCCAATTGTCTACAAAACAAACCATCATTATAAAATAACTTGCCTAATTACACTAACCTGCCTAGTTAACCCAATTAACCTAGTTAAGCCTTTAAATATCACTTAAAGCTGCATAGAAGAGTCTTGAATATGAATATCTAGTATATTCTATATATATATTTAATCTCATCATGGCAAAGATAAAATAAATCAGTTATTAGCAATGAGTTGACTATTATGTTTAGAAATGTATTGAAAAAAAATCTTTGCTTCGTTAAAAAGAAAACAGAGGAAAAAATAAACAGGGTGGCTAATTATTCCGACTTCTACTGTATATGTCACACATTGCTAAAAACATTACAAGGACACACATATTTCACAAAAAAAATGTTTTTTTATTTATTCTTCATGTTTGTTAGAAATTTTTAAGCTACATCACGGCAATGAGATCATTGTGTAAATTCCAGTATGAAGACTAGATGTCTGTTCCAGCCAGTGCAACATGATGTCTTTGAGTTTTCAGCATAATTCCTGAGAAAAGCTTGATTCGAACCTATCAGCGCACTCTTGTGATTGAGGTGCAACTTTATTAATATTAATAATATATCTTTGAAGACCGCAAAGACATACCTCAATCAAAATGATTTAGTTACTAAGTTTACAGTAATATCATTACAATATTATTGACGGAAAGATGTAAATGCTGCTCTCTGAATGTAAACATCTAAACACCTTAATCAAGCTACCATCGTGTATTCTTTTTGGCATATTTTGTGACAGGATAGTCTATACACACACCACTATTTGACACTATTCTCTGCACCTACTGAGTCTCTGCATCTATCATCTTTTTTTCTCCTATATGGCAAGTGGCATCAAAAATTTCATTAAAACAACACTCTTTCAGCAGTTCCTCGTATCCAATATCTCGTCTGTCACAGAGGGCAGGCATGAAATGTTCCTGAATGAAAGTGAAAGTACAAAACTGCAGTTAAAGTCGACAAATTAAGAATGAAACATGCAAAACTACATGAAAACATGGATAGCTTGGTGACGCAATGACGTTAATTAAATTATGCACCAGACACCTTCTTATAAGCACCCCATATTTCTTGAGAAACAAATAAAAGATTTAAAGTGCCTTATTTATCCTAACTTTTAAGTTGGTTTGGTCTACTAAATGGG